GAGGGAGTGGGAGGGGAGAGAAGGGGAACGGAGGGGAAGGGAAGGAAGTGGAGAGGAGGAACAAGGGGAGAAAGTGAGGAGGGCAGGATGATATGGGACAGAACAGTGTGATGTTGGGGGGATGATGTTGGATTGGGAGGGGGAGGGAATGAGATGTGAAGGGAAGGGGTGGGAATTGGAGGTGAGGGGACAAGGAGGGAATGGGAGATGAGGGGATGGGGAGGGAATGGGAGGTGAGGGGAAGGGGAGGGAATGGGAGGTGAGGGGAAGGGGAGGGACTGGGAGGTGAGAGGAGGGTGTGGAGAGAAGGAAGGCGAGTGGAGTGGGGAACCGAACAGGGAGTGTTTCCTGAGTGTGGAGGACAGTGGAGGGGAAGCAGGAGCGGAGTGGATGTGATGGTCTGAATGGAGGTGATGAGGTGTTCGATGGAAAGGAGTGGAGTGTGTGAAAATGACAATGTTTTGGGTCTGGACAAGGCAAACTAAGGGACATTAGTGGATGGGTTGAGTTGTCTCCTGAAGGCTCTGTCCCTCATGAGGATTTGGCACTGGGGACCAATGAGACACTGTGTCATTCCCTGACTAACATGGCCACCTTGGTGGGAGGGGTAATTAATTGGTGCAACTCACTCTTAAACAGAGAGGGCAACAGTGACACTCTCCTGGGTTCACAGCTGAGGTACTGAGGCTCACACCTTGAGACAAGGGTGGTACAGGTAATTGGAAGGGAGGGGCGATAGGGGAGGATAACATTGGAGGGGAAGAACACTTTTGTTTTTGAGAATTTTTAGTGGATGGTGACTAGAAGGGAGGGTACATTAATAAGATCAGAATAATAGGCAAGGGAATAGAGACTGAAGGGGAATAGAATGGGAGGGAAATTGGAGGATAAGGGTTTAGAGGGGAACGGGGTGGTTAATGGGGCTGGCAGGAACTGAAACAGTAGGAAAAGGAGGGTGAAGAACTGGAGGGGTGGAAATTGGAAGGGATGAGGTTTGGAGGGGTCAGAAATAGAAGTTAGGGGAATTGGGAGATGATGGATGATAGAGTTGCAGAGTTTTACAGCTTGAAGGAGACACTTCAGCTCATCTATTCTAGCCCCATGTTCGACCACTTGGCCCACAGCATTGTACACTATGGCATTTCAAGTGTTCATTTAAATACAACTTTACTGTTGTCTAGCAACCTTTCAGGCTGTGACTTCCAGATAGTCACGACCCTCGGGAAGAAATAATCTTCCTTAAGTCGCCTCTAATCTCCTGCCCCTTGCCTTAAATCAACGTCCCCCTCGTTTCTGATCACCTACTAAAGGGGAAAGGTTTCTCCCTGTTTACCCTGTCTCTGCCCCTTGTAATTTTGTAGACCTCAATTTGGTGCCACCTCAGCCTTCTCTGTTCGAAAGAAAAGGAACCTGGTCTCTCGTCAGAGCTGAACTACTCCAGCTCAGGCAACATCATGGTGAATCTCCTCTGCACCCCATGCAGTGCAATCACATCATTGCTATAATGTGGGTGACCAGAACTGCACAGTACTCCAGCTGTGGCCAAACCAATGTCTTATGCAGTTCCTTAACCCCCTTACTCTTGTATTCAACGCCTAGTCTAATAAAGGTAAGCATCTCATATGGCTTCTTAACCAATGTATCTACCTGTCCTGCTGCCTTTAAGGGTCTATGGGCATCCATATCAAGGTGCCTTTGATCCTTTGTACTTCCTAAGGTCTTACCATTGCTTCCTCACCTTGCGAGCCCTTCCAAAGCACATCACCTCCCGGTTTTCTGCATTAGAATCCATTTGTCTCTGTTCAGCCCGCCTATATCATCCCATAATGTAAGGATCTCTCTGTCATGCATCACCAATTTGCAAGGTAGTTAGAATGGACCCCAGTTGGCATTGCTATTGTCCTCAGTTCCTTCAGCCTTTCCGGGGAGAGCTGGTGGGGGGACACTAACTCTTTAGCAAGGGATCACCATTCTCCACACTCCCATTTGGCAACACCCCACCCCCATCCCCAACCTCACTCCCTTCAAAGCTCCTTCACCCCACTGAGCCCCAGTCTGTTCCTTCCCTTCTCTTTCAGCAGCTGGCAACGCACAGGAGTGTGAGGGAGAGGTTGACAGACAGCACAGATTCCCGCGTGCCTCCCCATCTGCTCCCCAAGCTCCGGGACCGGGAGGAAGGTAAGACGACCCTGTGGGTGGGGAACTGGTGAATCACTAGTTGCCCTCAGGTACTTCGCTCTGAGATTTAAAGGTGGGATCACAGACTTGGGCCGCATCTCCAAGATTTTTCGGTTTATTTTTATTCTCTTGTCAGATGTCTGTGTCACTGCTGGGCCACCATTTATTACCCCTTGAGAAGGTTGGGGGGAGCTGCCTTCTTGAACTGCTGCAGTCCATGTGCTGTGGGTTGACCCAAAATGCCCTCAGGGAGGGAATTCCAGGGATTTTGACCCAGCGACAGTGAATGAACGGTGATATATTCCAAGTCAGGATGGTTTGGAGAGGAATTTGCAGGGGTGCTCATGGAGTAATACAGCATGGAAACAGGCCCTTCAGCCCAAACTGGTCCATGCTGACCATGGTGCCCACTCAGCTAGTTCCAATTGCCCGCATTTCATCCATATCCCTCTAAACCTTTCCCACCCACGTACCTATCCAAATGCTTTTTAAATGTTGCTATTGTACCTCCCTCAACCACTTTCTCTGGCAGCCCATTCCATAAATGCACCACTCAGGTCCTTCTTAAATCTTTCCCCTCTCACCTTAAACCTAAGCCCTGTAGTTTTCAATTCCCCATCCATGGGAAAAAGACTATATGCATACATCCTATCTATTCTCAACATGATTTTATACACCTCAATAAGGTCGCCCCTTATTCTCCTACACTCTAAGAAATAAAGTCCTATCCTGGCCAACGTCTCCCTATAACTCAGGCCTACTAGTCCCAGCAACATCCTCGTAAATCTTCCTTACACACTTGCCAGTTTAACTATGTCTTTCCTATAACAGGGTGACCAAAACTGTACACAATACTCCAAGTGCGGCCTCAACAATGACTTATATAACTGTAACATAATGTCCCAACTCCCATACTCAATGCCCTGACCGATGAAGGCCAGCATACTAAATGCTTTCTTCACCACCCTGTCTACCTGTGGCTCGGCTTTCAATGAACAGTGTACTTGTACTCGTAGGTCCCTCTGTTCCACACCACTCCTCAGGACTGTATAAGTATTTACTGTATAAGTCCTACCTTGGTTTGACTTTCCAAAATGCAACACCTCACACTTATCTGTATTGAATTGCATTGCTAATCCTCAGCCCACTTCCCCATCTGATCAAGATCCCTCCGTAATTTTTGATAACCTTCTTTGCTATCAATGTTACCTCCTAATTTTATATCATCTGCAAACTTACTAATCATGCCTTGTACATTCACATCCAGATCATTTATGTCAATAACACATAACAAAGGTCCCAGCACCAACCCCTGTGGCACGCCACTAGTCACAGGCCTCCAGTCCGAGAAACAACCTTCAACCATCACCCTCTGCTTCCTACCATCGGACCAGTTTTGAATCCAATTAGCTAGCTCTCCCTGGATCCCATGGGACCGAACCTTCATGACTAGCCTGCTGTGCGGGACCTTGCCGAAGCCCTTACTAAAGTCCATATAGACAACATCTACTGCCCTACCCTCATCCATCCTCTTGGTTACTTCTTCAAAAAACTCTAAAAGATTTGTCAGACATGACTTCCCACACACAAATCCATGCCGATGATCCCTAATCAGACCTTGACTATCCAAATGTTGGTTGATCATATCCCTCAGTATCCTGTCCAATAACTTGCCCACCACTGATGTCAAGCTCACTGGCCTGTAGTTCCCTGGCTTGTCTTTTCTACCTTTCTTGAACAACGGAACAATATTAGCCACCTTCCAGTCTTCCGTCACTTCACCAGGGGTTAAAGATGATGGAAACATCCCTGCAAGGGCCTCCACAATTTCTTCCCTAGTCTCCCACAACATCCAAGCATGGGCTTGATCAGGCCCAGAGGATTTATCCACCTTAATGCACTTAAAGGCTGCAAACACATCCTCTCTAGTAATGTCTATGCGGTCCAAAACATCCCCACTTGTTTCCCTTATTTCCTTAGCATCCATGATTCTTTGCTCAGTAAATACTGGGGAGAAACATTCATTAAATACCTCCCCCATCTCCTGTAGCTCCACACATAGACGACCATGCTGATCTTTAAGGGGACTTATTCTCTCCCTAGCCACCCTTTTACTCTTACTTTGTTATAGAACCTCTTGCGATTATCTTTTACCTTATCTGTCAGATCCGTCTCATAACGTCTTTTTGCTCTTCTGATTTCCCTCTTAAGTGTGCTCCTACACTTTTTATAGTCATCTAGGGATTCACTTGAGCTTGGTACCTTAAACCCAATGTATGCCTTTTTCCTGACCAGAGCCTCAATATCCCTCATCAGTCATTTTTCCCATGTATCTGCCGCCCTTGTCCTTCTAGATGGAAGTGCTCATGGGTTTGGAAGGTGCTGCCTGAAGATCTTTGGTGAATTTCTGCAGCGTATTTTGTAGATAGTACACACTGCTACTGGGCATCGATGGTGGAGGGAGTGGGATGTTTGTGGATGTGGTGCCAATCAAGTAGGGGCTGCTTTGTCCTGGATGGTGTCGAGCTTCTTGAGTGTTGTTGGGGCTGCCCCCATCCAGGGCAAGTGGGGAGTATTCCATCCGACTCCTGACTTGTGCCTTGTAGATGTTGGGACAAACTCTGGGGAATCTGGAAGTGAGTTGCTCGCCATAGTATTCCCAGCCTCTGACCTGCTCTTGTAGCCACTGTGTTTATGTTGTGAGTCCAGTTGAGTTTCTGGTCAATGATAACTCCGGGATGTTAATAGTGGGGTATTCAGTGATGGTAACACTGTTGAATATCAAGTTTAGATTCTCTCTTGTTTGAGATGGTCAATGCCAGACAATAAGAGACAATCTAATCACTTCCCCTTGCCATTAACTTATTGTGTTTTGCACTGACCTTCTCTCTTTCTCTCTCTCTGTCTACCCCATGGCCTCCCCTAGGATTTGGAGTGAGTCTTCATGAGCGACTGATCACCTGCTCATGTCCATATGTGGTCCTACAGAGAGGCATCCCACACCCACTGGCCTCTCCTTTCCTCCTCACCAGTCGATCAGCACCACTGTATTTTCCATAGCGCCCACACTGCCAGATACTCAACCAGTTCCTGACAGGCTTGTTCCACTCCATGTCTTCCCTCTCACTCTCTCTTTTTCCCTTACTCAGGATTCTGAGTCCTTCATCCCAGACCAGGTTTTTCTGATGCCTTCTACCCCTGATGTTGCCCCCTCCCTCTTCCCACGCATCTCTCCAGCTCCAGCTCCTGGATATCTCCCGCTGAGGACACCCATTTCCAGGATTTGTGCCCCTGATCCAGTTCCATGAATCCATTTTCTGGTTATCCAACTCCATTCAGGATTCTCCTTCTCTCCCATTCCCTCTCTTTCACTGCTCCTCTGAAACTAGTATCTGTACAACCAAGCAGACAAATAGAAACAACATCTATTGAAAATCCTCCTGCAATCTGCACTCACACATCGGAGGAGGTGAAGATTCTTAAACTAAATACAGAATAAAGCCCTCCTTGCTGCGTGTAAATACTGTAAGGACAGGGACAGCAGGGGGTAAGACACAGAATAAACATTCCTTTACATTGCTCCCCCCATCAAACACTCCCAGGACAGGGACAGCGCAGGGTTAGATACAGATTAAAGCTCCCTTTACACTGTCCCCCATCAAACACTCCTAGAACAGGGACAGCACATGGTTAGATACAGATGAATCTCCCATTACACTGTCCTCAGGGGCTGGAAGAGGTTACAGAGATAGGGAGTGGTGTAGGGGCAGGAGGGGGTTACAGAGATGGGGAGGGGTGTAGGCGCTGGAGGTGGTTACAGAGATAGGGAGGTGTGTAGGGCCAGGAAGACATTACAGAGATAGGAAGGGGTGTCAGGGCTGGAGGAGGTTACAGATAAGCAGGAGTATGAGGGCTGAAGGAGGTTACCGAGATAGGAAGGGGTGTAGGGACTGGAGGAGGTTAGAGATATAGGGAGGGGTGTGGGGGCTGGAGGCAATTACAGTAATAGGGAGTTCTGTAGGAGATGGAGGTTATATCGATAGAGTGGGGTGTAGGGGCTGGGGGATTTTACAGAGATGGGGAGGTGTGTGGAGGAGGTTACAGGGATTGAGTTTTGAAGGTGGAATTTGAGACAAAGATTAGTGTTTTACACTGTGATGTCAGCATACTACATATTCCTGTAGTTCCAGTGTGTGCAGCAGTGGTTTCTGAATTTGACATGGTGTGGTTTAAGTCATGCACAGCAGTGGTTTTGAATATTTCTCATATGGGGGGCAGAAAATGGGAGTAAATGCCCCTTTTCCTCCCTGCCTTCTCTTTGCCCATGCTCTAGGGTGAAGTGGACACCTTCTGTAACTCCTATATGATCCTCCCACTCTCCGCCCTTCTTGCTAATTGTTATTATCTCCCACATGGGTTTTACTCTTCCAGGACCTATGTTCCCACCCAAGCTGATGTTTGAAATAAAAACAGAAAATGCTGGAGAAACTCAGCAGGTCTGGCAGGAGCAATGGAGACAGAACAGGAGTTAACATTTCGAGTCCAGTATGACTCTCTTCAGAACTGATAAGAGCTGTAAAGTTATATTCTTTATTCTTGTGATGGAAGGTGAGGAGGTGGGAATTGAACAGATTGTCATGGTGCCCAGAGTAAGAAAGAACTGGAGTGTTAATAGTGGTAAAGGAGTGATAGAGGTGTAAAATAGGTGTTAATGTTCCTTGTGCACAGGGGAAAAGATGGGTCCATCCTGGGAGTAAACCTGACAAGACTCAGCTTGGGTGGGGTGGTGGATGAAAGAAATTGGAGTACAGAGGCCATGCTTTGAAGTCGTGGAATTCAATCTTGAGTGCTCGAGTGCTGAACAGTGCCTAAGCAGCAAGTGAAATGCTGATCCTCAAGCTTGCATTGAGCTTTATTGGAAGATTGTAACAGGTCCAGGTTGGAAATATTAACATGGGAGCAAGATGGGTTATTGAAAAGGCAACTGGAAGATCAGGGTC